AGTGGCACGGTCAAAGAGTGCGTTTTAAAGTGGGATTGGAAGATACAAAGAGGGGGCGAAGGAGAGGAATAGAAACAGCAAGTTCCAAAGATTGGGTGGGGAAGGCTCATTTGATGTAAGCACACTCCATGTGATACAGCTCTGTCCTTCGGATGAAATGTTAAACCGAGGTCCTATCTGCCTGTTAACGATCCCATGGCACTATTTGAAAAGAGAAGGGAGTTTCTGTCTCCCAGTGTCCTGGCCAACAATCCTCCAAATAAAATTGGTCACTCACTCCATGGCAGTTTGTAGGATGTTGCTGAGCACAAACTGGTCCTCACAACACAATACAAATTCCATTAAATCCTTTGAAGTGCTTTGGGACGTCCTCCCGATGTGAAAGGCACTGTACCAAATGCAAGGATTATCATTATTATCATTGCGCTGGCTGAGTGAGAGAAGGCTGCAATGAGAGGGCAGATGCGTGGGTTGTTGGTTAAAGCAGAGGAGGCAGCAAAAGGTAGCTTGTGTGGCTCAAGACAGATGATGACAACCTGAGTGCTGCCTCCCACATTTTTCCACAGGGAATGTGCGCTCCATTGAGACAGATGCCGACTGCTCTGTTAATAGATGGGACTGATTATAATAATAAATAAATAAATAAATAATAAATTATAATAACAATTATAATGATCATCCAATTTAACACAGCACTTTTCACATTTGGGATGACATCTCAAAACACTTTGCAGTATTTTACTGTAAAATGCAGTGACTGTGAATTTCGTAGGTGAACCCGGCAGCCAATTTGCACATAGCAACGTCCCACAAACAGCAATGAAGTGAAAGACTAAGTTTATCTGGAGGATTCTCAGTCAGAAACTCCCTTTTCTTTTCCAATAGTGCCATGGGATCTTTAACGAGCACCTGAACAGACACAGACCAGACTTTGGTTTAATGCCTCATTCGTAACCCAGCCCCTCTGACAGTGCAGTGATGCTCCCGGCACAATGACTTGCATTTATATTGCACCCTTCACGTGTAGTAGCGTCTCAGAGCGCTTAACAATGGTGTAGTTTGTCGCTGAGCCGGGAAGAGCAGGAAGCTTCCCGCAGGCACAGTTGAAGAGGAGCAAGGCGGAGCGGTTGATGTAGGGAGTCCTGGAGGGTTAGGGCGTAGTGGCTGCAAGCAAGTCCGCCAATGGTGGAGTGGAAGGGTCGAGGGATGTGCAGAAGGCCCACAAACAGAAAAGGGAAGATGCTGAGGATTTCTTGTGGCTCTGGCATGAGCTCTGGTGATTGCCAGGGTACATCTGCTGTGCCGAGCAGTGCAAACTGCAAATGGGCAACATCACAAGGCAGAACGATGTGCAATCTGCTGATGACAACAATTGATGTGCCTCAGGGAAATTGATTGTGTAAGGGAGGTCAATAGTATAGAAAGAGCTCCGGTAAGTGGATGGGTTGAGGTTAGCCATTAGGTAATGTGGAAAATATTGTTGGGTTCTTTCTACCGTAATTCGATACTCGCCATTAACCAATAAAGGTCTGAACACAGACAATCAAGTTGTACAATCAAGACAGTTTATTCAACAATGTAAATATACTACCAGATAAGCAGTCTTGCCTGATGACCACCACTCGGCTCAGCAACCTGTAGTTCTTATCTTACTCTGTGGAGCTCAACTATACTTTGTGTGTCTGTTGTATTTACCCAGCTAGTTGGTGTACCCGTAATCTGCTCGTGATGGTACTTTTCCACTAGAGCATGTGCCCTGCTAAGACTAGTTTTCCTCCTTATCTAGCTCCTTGTCCGTACTCCCTGTTCTTCCTCAATCAGTATGTTTTCATAACCTTGCACTCCTGTGGTCTCTAGTCAGGTGCCCTACTCACAGGTCGAGCCATCTATTCTGTTAACCTTTTCTTATACTAACAGTCCCCATCTTGAGACCAAAATAATGATCATAATGAGGTCTCACAAATACACCAAGACCAATAAAGCAAATAAAAAAAACAACATAAAGACACAATCATTGTAAATAAAATTATGGCTTCGGCAATCACAAAATGATAAGATATGAGTAATAAAGTTCAGTGCAATTAATTAATCAGATTGATCCAGCGGCTGTGATTAGGAATCTATCTACTTGTTAATGTGGTTCGATCAATGTTGATTGTAGAATATCTCTTCTTAAGATCGATTAGACTTGTCTTCTTCATTCCCAAACTTAGATCTTTTTAGTCATGTCCGCCAAGTCGGCAGTGAGACCTTGTTTTTACCATTCATTGTAGGGTTAAAAACATATCTTTCAAGGCCGGTATGCTCCTTTTGTTCTTGGCAACCTTTATGTACTGATGTTACCAATGTCCTTGAGAGTCCATAGCTATTTCAGTCAAACAAGTCACAAGTCTTTGCGATATCCTTTTTGGTCAACTTAAGACAACCAGAATTCTGGGTTTGTGAAATATCCAGTCCCCATCTCGAGTGGGTCAAGCTGACAACACAGAATCTTCACGATTCCCTTTTACTTCAGCTACCACATCAATCCTTTCAACTAATATTAGCATCTGCAATTACAGCACTTCATTATCAATAATATCATGATTAACAAATAGTATAGAAATTTGAAATATTATTTCAGTGCATGTTCCTCTCTATCCTTGCCCACTGGCTTTGAACATTATTGAAATACTGGAATAGACAAAGTAAATGTTACATAAAATAAATCAGAACAATGACATTCTTAATACTATCACTTCTTCTTGAATTATCACAGTGTTTACCTATTGATCCCGTAACCGCACGCTCTACCACACCCGACGCATACAAAATCTGCGCGGTTGCCAATGTAGACCCTGTCCTCTGTGCAGGTGATGGCCGCTGTTGTGAAGTAGACGATTGATTCGGTTGTACTTGTCCACTCATCTCCCCCAGACGGTTGAGCCGAAATTGAATGTGAAGACCGGCTTTGTGGGTGGGAGGGTAAGCAAAGTATAAGTCGTCTCAGAAGAAGTCGATGGAAGGAAAGCCACCTCCATAGGGTGTAACGAGCCATTGTCAGTATCTGTAGGAACTATAATCACAAAGTGAAATCTCCCATTTCATTAAACACTGCAGTTAGTTAATATGATTGCAGTAAAGTTGGTGACCATCATGTGAAGTGGGATTAGAAATTTGATCGATTTGTGCGACTGCTTCAAAATACTTGCACTACTAGCTTTACCAGCGATTCAATTGTAGCTTGGGCATGCTCATTGGCTGTAAAAATAGTTTTGCTTTATGTAGAAACCAAAGGGTTAAGTCTCTCTGAGCAGCCTGTGCTGGTCAGCATGAAGTATGAGTGTTCATTTGTTTACACAAATCAAGAGTGCGAGCAGTCAGTGAATTTAAACTGTTCACAGTTAATAGCTACAATATCAGGAAAGAAACAGCAAAAGTACCCGTAATGGATGCATGTTCATCACATAACAATACATATGGCAATGACTGCCTTCCATTCACCCTAAGTGTGCCCCAGGTGCAGGGACTTTGATTGTAAGGCAATCCAAACACTAAAGTAATAGTAATAATCTATACTAATAAGGATGAAGCGTCTGTCTGTGTATGTGTTTGTGTATCTGCCAATCACGCAATAACCGATTGTAGAGCCATGATTTTGGATCTTGCAGCTGGCAGTGTCATGGGCATATTTTTAGAGGGGAAATCTCCTATCGTTAATGAGCTATATTAAAAAATACTTTCATCAAGCCCCAAAATACAAGGTATGCATCGTATTCTGCAACTACATAGCGACAGAGGACACATTCTTCAGAGAGATACATCTATATTCCGCAACAAATGTATGACACTTTTTTTCTAGTTGCCAAGGCAGCTGGAGAGAGAGACTGAGATAGTGGGACAGAGAGAGACTGAGATAGTAAGAGAGCCAGAGACAGAGAGAGAGAAACTGAGAGAGAATATATTATAAAGTGTAGTGACTCTGTGTTTTGTGGGAGAGACAGAGAAAGACTGAGAGGGAGGCAGACTGAGAAAGAGAGACTGAGAAAGGGAGAGGCTGAGAGACACTGAGAGAGTTAGAGAGAGAGAGACAATCGAAGAGGAGGGTCTTCAGACCGGCCTTGAAGGAGGCAAAGGGACTGTGGGATGGAGTGCCATAGTGTGGGGGCAGAGAGACTGAAAGCCCGATGGTAGGGCGGATCGGGCGGGAGACATGGAGCAGGCCGGAGCCTGCTGAACGGCGCGAGCGGGCAGGTTGTTAGGGAAACAGCAGATCAGAGAGGTAGGAGGGGACAAGGCCATGGATGCCTTTAAAGGTGAGGATGAGGATCTTGAATTCGATCCTCTGAGGGATGGGGAGCCAGTGGAGTCGGGTGAGGGTGGGAGTGATGGGGTCATGGAGTCTGGTGCCAAGAGTACACGAGCTGCAGAGTTTTAACTGTAATAACAAAATAATCATAAGAATAATAATAATTCTTGCATTGGATACTTTCGATACAATGTCTAATTGCAATGGGGTACATCTCAAAGTGCTTCACAGGATTTTACTATAAAGTGCCGTGACTGTATTTTGTGGGTGAGCGCGGCAGCCAATTGGTACACAGCAACGTTCCATTAACAACTATGAAGTGAATGATGCATTTTATCCGGGTGGAGAATTACTGGCCAGGACACTGGGAGAGAGAAACTGCTTCTATTTTTTGAGTCGTGCCATGTGATGTTCAATGTCCACCTGAACAGGCATGGACGTGTCCATGGCTTAAACTCTCATCCTAAAGATGGCGCTTCCGACGATGCAGCACTCCCTCCAGCACTGCACTAGAGCGTCTTGGACTGTGTGAGCTCAATGCCCCCACCATGGGGGCTTGAACCCACAACCTTCTGACTCGGAGGCGAGCGAGCGAGGGTTGAATCGGGCTGACATCTTACACAACTGCAGAGTCATTCTGCTGGCAGAGGGAGAGAGGGCGCTCGGTTTGTCAGGACCCAGTGGCTGAGGGAAGCCTGTGTTTGCGTTTCAGAGAGGAAGATGTGCGTGGCTGAAGGTGCGATGCTGCCCACTTAGGAAGATCGCTGGGACGTGGAGGAAATATCCCTGAGGATGCTGGGCATCTGCCGTGGACGCAGGAAGTTCCTCGCGGCCACACTAAGCATCCTGTTCATCCCGGCGTTCACCTGGATCTACCTGTTTTCCGGCACGTTTAGAGGTAAGCAGAGCACGCCTTGCCTTTACCTTTTGTCCTTGTGAATATTGAAAGCATTTGTCTTGTCCCCACCCCCCACTCACCACTACCGCCCAACCCCCCTGAGCTCCTTGGTTGAATGGGACCTGGGGAGGGGGCAGCCCTGAGGACTACGATGGAGGATGGATGACACAACACAACCTTTCACAGAGGATGTGCAAAGGTCCTTAATAAACCTGGCTTGGCACCCAAGCTGATGGTGGAGACCAAAGCAGTTTGAGGAGGGGAGGTCTTGGGGTGGAATCAGAGGTGAGACTGCTACTGAGACGTTTCAAAGCGCTTTACAGAATATAATTGTGTATTTTGTGGGCGAAATACGGTAGCCAATTGTGCGCAGCTGTGACCCACATTTTTTAAATATTTAAAGTATTACTCTCAGAAAGTGATCGGCCAATCGACTAACAACTGGGTTCCTACCTACTGCTTGTTAAACAGAGGCGTGTGGAGTAAGGAAACTTGCCTAGGGTTTCGTCCCGCCCAGGAAACAAACCCGAGTCCTCTTGCTTGCTTGCGAGTTCGCCAATTCCTCTGTAGAGTTCATCTCTCAGCAGATGATGAGGTGGTTTCAAGCAGTTATCATATCTGGCTGGTTTATTACAGCTGTCTCCTTGAACAGCCATGCAAGTGACAGCCAGCCGTCCACACTGAGCAGGAAATGATCGTCTCTGACACTTGTGATAAAGATTAATCCACCTGCTTACAGTGTAGGAAACAGTGTTCAAGAGACTTGCAAATGATGTTTCTGGTGTTTTGTGCTTGTGCGTGTGACAGATTGCTCATGTTCTGGTAAACAATGGAATTGGAGGATTTGTTTCAGCTTTCTGTGATTGAAAGTGTGAAAGAGATGGGTTTTTAAAAAAATATAACCATACAGTAAAACTCATATAAGTCGTATCAGTAGGGAGCATAATATTTAATATGATTAGCATGAAGTCCAAGTTGCAGGCAACTGTAGGAGTTGTATAAAATCTGATTCAATCAATTTATTATTATTATTAATCACCACTGCGCACGTGTAAAATCAATGCAGCTGGTAGGTACGCATGCGGTGACAGGTAAGACTACATTTCCTGTGATTCAATGCGTTGTCGCACGTCACTGCATGCACACTTACCAGCAAACGTCAGAATCACATTGAATTGCGAGAAATGAGGTTCTTCTGCACATGCATCGACGGATGAAGACTACATTTCCCGCGATTCAATGCAGCCAGCTGGTAAGTACACATGCTTTGATGGGTCAGGAGTAAGTGGGCCTCCAGTAAGTGTTGGAGTAATGGAAGGTAAGGGGAGAGGCATTACAAATTAGGAGGTGATTTATTTGAGTAGTGTAAGAAAAATCTGCGTGGCTTTGATAGGAAACCGAATGGTACTTGGATTAATTAGATGTTTATATGATATATAAAGGTAAGACTTATGCAAGTTTTACTGTAATGATAATCGTAGCATTTGATCCAGTGCCTTTCATGTCAGGAGCATGTCTTAAGATTTTAACTGAAAGATTTGAACTAGATTTTGTGGGTGAATGCGGCAGCCAGTTTGCTCACAGCAATGAAGCGATTGACTGAATTTCATCTGGGGATTGTCAGCTAACACACCAGGAGAAAGTCCCTTCTCTTTTCAAATAGAGAAGAGAATTTAGGAGGAACTTCATTAAGCATAGGGCAATGAGATTGTGGAACTCACTGCCTGAAGCTGCCTGTCGGTTGAGTCAGCTAGTACAGATGCATTCAAGAGGAAGCTAGACCTTCAGATGAGGGAGAAGGAGTAGAAAGGTATGTGAGGGAGTAAAGAATGATGGTGATTTTTGTGGAATATAAACACCGGCACAGACTGGTTGGGCTGAGTAGCTTGCTTATCTGCTTAGATTCGTTGTAAATCTTCCTTGTAAGCAGCGTCACAAGATATTTGACATCCACTTGAACAGGCTTTAACCTCTCATCCGAACGACAGCCTCTAACAATGCAGTGCTGCCCCCAACACTGAACTGGAGTGTCAGCCTGAACTGCGAGCTCAAAGCTCCTGATGTGGGGGGATCCAACCTACCAAAGTTTTGCTGTGCTCTGCGTGGCGGTGTGCTGTCATTCATGTTTAAGCCAGAGGATGAATGGGCCAGTCCCTGCGTCAGCGTGCTTGTCTGATAAATAGGTCAGTTGAATGCCTCATAATTCAGCAGCGTCCTGTAAGGTGCTGCGAGGCTCAGTCAGGAGTCGAAAATCTTCTCCTCTTCAGGTGTCAGGTTCTCGCCTCCGAGTCAGGAGGTTGTGGGTTCAAGCCCCCATGTCAGGGACTTTGAGCTCACAGTCCAAGCTGACACTTCAGTGCAACACTGGGGAGAGCGCCACATTGTCAGAGGTAAGAAGAGGACACAAGCATTATTTCTCATTATAAACAGAACGGTTTTGATAAAGGGTTGTGGACCTGAAGCGTTGACTCACTTTCCTTTCTCCAATTTTCCTTTGCTGCCTGACCTGCTGAGTGTTCCCAGCGACTCCTGTTTTTCGTTTCAGATTTCCAGCATCTGCAGTATTTTGCATTTTGCAAATCTGATGGTGCGTGTGGTGCTGAGAGTGAGGGGTTTCGTTGACCTCAAATCTTCCATTTTGACCCATTACCAGCTGATTACCTCACTAACAGAGATCAACAGTGATTCACTTCAAACCGTGACTCACCCTTCTCAGCGGAGCGCTGCATGACAGAGGTGCTGTCTTTCAGATGAGATGTTAAGGTTCTGTCTTTGCCTGTTCAGGTGGATGTTGAGGATCCCGTGGTATTATTGTAAAAGAGAAGGGAGTTTCCTTCCCCCGGTGACCTGGCCAACAGTCTGTCAAATAAAATCGGGTCACATGGCTGTTTGAGGGACATTGCTGTGCACAAATTGGCTGCCGCATTTGCCTACAAAATCACAGTCTCTACACTTCATAGTAAAATCCTGTGACCTATTATTAGTATAATTTTAAGCCCGTAAAGATTCTTTTAAAATAAAGCAGCTGAATTGCTGCCTGGCTGCCTTCATTGCTTCGCCCTGATATCACTTTGCTAAAAATAGAGACGTTGGCCCACGCCTGGGAATTAGTCACCGCTAACAGTTTAGAGTAACATTAGATTAATAAATTTCACTGCACTTGTAGGGTCAGTCAAGATCCCTCAGAACGTATTGATTGAACTGTGACGGTTGTTTAGCGCAGCAATAAATCGCGGGCTTTCTGTAGGAAGGCATTGTATGGAAGGGCAAGTTACCCCACCAGTTAAAGCCCAGCCAGAGTGTATACCTGTCCAACACAGGCAGAAACCCATCACCTTGATCAGCCGGGTATCTGACACAAGCAGAAACTCATCATCATTATCAGCCAGGTATCTGACACTCTCGGAAACCCATCACTTAAGTATGTGAACCAGATGAAGAGTTCCATATATGTCCCCTACATGTGGGAAAGGGCATGAATGGTATTGAAATACAGCACATTGTGACCTTTAATAATAAAGTGAGCGAGAGAATAACGGAGAGATAAGGATAAGCCTGCAAATTCACTTGCTTGATCCAGGTGTAGGGGCTGATACCTCAGACCAGAACATTACAGTCCAAAAATGGGAAGCAATGTGAAATTTACACAAATTGTACACAGTTGGAGTTCGCTGTGTATTTCTGGTTGCTCCATTACAGGAAGGATATTGCAGCATTGGAAAAAGCAGATTACTCTGTTGTTACAGGGATGAGGGGATCCAGCTAGCAGGATAGATCAGATAGGTCGGAGCTTTTCTCTCTGGAGTTGAGACGACTGAAAGGGGACCTGATTGAGGGGTCCTGTCTCAGCATCCCAAAGAGAGCTCCTATCTCAGCCAGCCTAGACATGGCAGGTACCTCAGTTTAACCAGCCTAGATATGGCAGGTGACTCATCGAAGGAGGCACCTTCGACAATGCAGCACTGCTTGGCAGTGTCAGCCTGCACTGTGAGCTCAAAATCTCCAACGTGGGGCTTGAACCAACAATCTTCTGATTCAAAAATGCACTCTCTCCTTGGAGGGACACACCCTGCTTACCTAATTCGGGAGAGTATTCAGCACAGGCGAACACCTCAGCCAATCGAAGAGAACACCTCCTGTGCACAGCAATATCCCACATAAAGTGAAAGTTCAAGCCCTACTTTGTACTCACAATACAGGCTGACGCTCCAGTGCAGTGCCGGGAAATATATTGACTGTACCCTTGGGATACACTGGTATATTTCAAACAGCAATCAAATGTTCCAGAAGATTTGATAGTTAAATGGTTAAAAATAGCTTTTCTGGATTTGCTGAAGTCAGCTTCTGATTACATTTCATATTTTCCTGAGATGTTCACTCCTCTGAGATAATGAGCAATCAGGTCCTTGAGCATAGATGTAAGAACAATGGACCACAGAAAAAAAAGGCTGCAGTCTCAGACACCTGCCTATCACAAGGCTGAGAAACACTCAGGCTGTGGAAGGATGCCCAGAAGTTGTCCATATCTCTCTGTGCAAAGCAGCCTGCAAAAGGTTAGGGCTATCTCTATGACAAGGAGAGTGGCGCTAGAAACACATGAAAGTAAGATGTAACTTTGAAATAGTTGAAGTTTATAGAGGGTCACTGCACTTCTCAGTGGAATCAGTATAGATTCTACTGTCTCTATGTATATGTACAGGATGAGGGAATTTACCTCCATTAAGAAAGTGACCATTAAAAGTGAAAGAGGAGTAGTGTTCAGCAGCACGAGTGAGGTGCTGGGCTAAGAACTGATTGTTTCTGTTGAGTTACAGGAGGAATTATCTGTGATTCTGTTTATAGTTCTGTGATCTCTTCAGGGTATGTCAAAGTGTGATCCCAGTCTACTGTTTAGTCTGGAGTACGAACAGTGCCTGGATATATGTTGTCGTCCCTGTATCGTCAGTACTACTGTTGTTGTGTATGATTAGTTGGGTCCGAGGGTTTACCGGACTCCAGTC